CCCACATTTCCTCCCACCCTGCCTGCCTTGCCCACCTTCCCTCCCTCCCTCCCTCCTGGCCTGCCTCCCCTCCCCAGAAGGGTGGGTACACAAGATCTTGTAAGCATTTCTAAATATATAATGAGATTATTTTTTTAAAATTTGACTAAGAATTGTCAAAGTTCAGTAAAACTTTGTTGCACTTTGCCCTGTAACAAAAATAGCGCATTCAGTGCACAGCTAGAGACAAGGAAATAAATAAATAAAATTTAAATGTAACAATTTTGCCACAATTTGTGTGTCAGCAAAAAATGGCTGAGCTGAATTTCTTAGCAGTGACTAAGAAATACTGGTTAAAATTTTCATGCAGATACCTGGAAAAATTCTGGTGAATTATTTGGTGCACACTGAATCCAATAAGCAGCAAAAAATTGAAGGGAAACAAAGGGCTGGCAGAGGGGAGGTTATCTGGATAGCCTGCAGTACTTTGAAATCCCTTTATTGAAGTATAGACACAAGTAATTAAAATCTGTCTTTGTGAATTCCCAGTGAGGTGTGTGCTAGGCTAGAAGCAAGGTGTCATAACACTTGCAGTAATCTCTTTTATCATGTTTGGGCTGTTGTGTACTTGGACTGATGTGAACAAGCAAAGCTTCTGCTCAGACTTGTGTGTGTTGTAGGAGCGGGTCTGCCCATCAGCAGTTCCCATTGTTCAGTGGTTTTGTTGCTCTGTATGTGGTGCAGTAAGCACTACTGCTTGAATCAATTCTCTAAGGAGACATCTTCAGCTGACTTTTCTGATAAGTCTTTTCTGACTCATGATGTCGAGTTATGAGTTACAGTGTTAGACTTGCACCCTAGGCTTACTTAGCCTTCACAGGGCCTAGGTTTTCATACCTTATTGTAATTTATTTTTCTCTCAGGCCTGCTCCTATGCCAGGAGTATTCCTGGTAAGATGTATTAGAAGGTGCAAACATATACATATGCCAGGCTTTCTCACTGGTTTCCTTAATTTACCTTAATTTTCTGTGTGTCCACGAAAAGTATTTCCTTTCTAGACTCAGTTTCTGGTCAATATGCTCACATTTAAAGAAACAAGTAAAATTTCAAGGTATTTCTGCTTTGCTGTTTTTTATCATCAAAACAGTTTACGGTAGTTTTGAGTTTTAAGGTGCTGCTGTGAAGGTCCCGTGCTGAGGTTTCCTAGTACTTGACAGGAGTTACTAGCGAAAATCGGATTGTGGGGTCCTTCTAGCTTCATGCTTTTTAGCGGTAAAAATAATATAAATATTTCTTTTCTTCCATTAATACTGTTGGTGAGCTTATGTTCCATGTTTTATTAACTGAACGATAACAGTAATCGCTTTTCCCTTTGTTTTAAATTCCTAGACAATAAAACCTGCAGATATTGCCACTGTCCGCACACTGGGTCGACCTCCTCACCTCATCATGCGAATCATGGACTGTGTGTTGCTGCTCTTCCAGCGTAAAGTCAACCATGTGAAAATTGATCAGGAAAAATGCTGTACTGTCCCATCATGGCAAGAATCTCTGAAGCTGATGACAACAGGGAACTTCTTACAGAGCCTGCAGGTGCTTGTGCAATCTTTATTTTTTTTAATAATGTAAGAAAATAAAGGACAGTGCTTTCTCTGGTGTTCATACAAGAACAAATGTGCAAGGGAAATCACACAATAGATGTTAAGGGCCTAAGAATAAATATGTCAGAATGAAATAAGCTCTAACCGTTCTTGCAAAGTCATGTTATAAATCAATTATAATTTTTCTGAAGTAAGGCAATGAAATTGTTTTAGGTGACAAATGACCCAAAGCTTTAAGCATTTGGTTTGGATAGCCATTACCCATTTCATTAAAGCTAATAACAAACATATTTTTTTCTGGTATTTAACTTTCCATTAATTTTCAACATTGCAGCTTGTGCACTGGCTTGAAAAAAGCATAGATGTTTATTAGGATGAACACAATCAGAACTTTTTAAAATCTCGGTTTTTTTGGTTCATAGCATTTGTCTAGGGAAATGGAAACAAACTGGTAAGCAAATACCTATTCATAAGTAAACCTAATAATATTGTGATTTATCTAGTGGGAATAAATGGTACGTTTTCCTGCTACACGGAGTGTTTTCATCCCTGATTTTTGCATTTTTAGTTTACTTAATTTGTCACTGGTCTAGTAGGAGGCTTGACCAGTTTTGTATGGTTGATAGTGGCATGGGTGTTATTTATGTAGTATTCACATTGAATCTACTTGTAAAGGTTTTTAATTTTGAGGGACTTCAACATTTCATTTTGCTTGTGCTTAATTAAACCTATTTGTGCTTCAGGGAACAGCTATTTTTCAAGTTTGTCTGGGATATTATACTTTGTAAATAAATTTGAGGGATAAAATTGAGAGCTTTTCAGGAGGAAAAAGGAAAAATGGGCTTTTTCAAGAGAAGAGTAAAAATACATTCTTTAAAAAATTAAATACATTCTATTAATTAGACAAGGTAATTTAAGGGTAAGATAGCTGGCTTGCCCTTTGAAAGGACTGTCTTGTAGAATGTATATTTTTGAACAAGAGTTTAGCTCTTTGTTTTCTTTTTGAAGATTTTCAAAACTTGCTATGTCTTAAGCAAAATAAAATTTCAAGCAGGACCAGTGATATTTTGAAACAATGATTATCTGTGTGACAGTAATGGTGAGTGTGAGATAGCAAACATCATAAATGAAGGCAAACTTTTTTCCATGTTCTAAGTATATATAACAATGGAATGACTTTGTAAAGGTCTCAAGGATACATGTGAGAAATAACTCCATATTAGCTGTTTGTAATAACACTTGTGATCCTTGTAGTTTTCTATGTGTTCTGAAATACATGTATATATGATTTACACTAATTACTTATATTTTGTGTCTTGTACTTTTAAAAATTTTTATTCAGCATTTTCAGAAAGACACAATTAATGAAGAAGTGGTAGAACTGTTGAGCCCTTATTTTGAAATGGTGGACTACAACATAGAGACGGCTAAGAGAGTATGTGGGAATGTTGCTGGCCTTTGCTCATGGACCAAAGCTATGGTGGTTTTTTTTTCCATCAACAAAGAAGTATTACCTTTAAAGGTATGTCTGTAGTTCAGTCAGAGACATTTCTCCTTCTCATCCTTACCTGTTTACACTTGAGGATTTAATCTGTGGGAAACTTCATCTGCCTTATTTGAACTGGTGCTTCCCTCTCCAGAAATTTATTATCTTGTAATTCTACAATAAAGTTATATTTCAAATGTATGTAAGTTGTCAAAATTATGAAAGAGATGGACTCCTAGTGAATGGGGTTAAAGCATCTGTCATCTAGTTAAATACACTACTGCAGTTGCTCTTTTTTTAAAAATTTTGAATTAAGTAGAAAAAAGCCTTGAGATTTAGTTATTTTAATGTTCCAGATCTCAGTTCATAAGAAGATTGTAGAGAGACTCTTTATCAGTGTTATGTAGAGAAATAGAACAGGCCTAAGTAGTTAGAATGAAAGTCAGGAAGAACATGGTCAAGTATGTTTAACAGACAATAGCTTGTATTATGATAAGAATGACTGAGAAGGGAGCAAAATTTGTGTTTCGACCTAGCATATTGGTTGGACAAATCAAGTAGACTTCTAGAGGCATCATTCTCTTCTGCAAGCTATGTCAGACTAACATTTGTGTCATATGAAGAATGACTGACATTTCCAGAAGTATTTTCAATGATTTTTTTCTAATTGATATTAAACCAGCTGTTCAAGTGCAGCTATCTGAAATAAGAATTTAGTTTGTTGAAAAAATAAAAGGTTTTGCTGAGTGATGAAATCTCTCCTGAAGAATTTGTAAAACTTTCTGAAATATATTATAGCAAATGCTTTGAAGATCTCTGTGTATGAATACACTTTTATGTTTTTATGCTCTGTAGGCTAATTTAGCAATTCAGGAGAAACGCCTAACCAACGCTATGCTAGATCTGCAGAAAGCTCAAGAAGAACTGGGAGCCAAGCAAGAAGAATTAGATATTGTGCAAGCAGAGTATGAAAATGCAATGAGAGAAAAACAGGTGAACTGTTCTTCACAGAAGTTTCTACCCTTGCTTTAAGGAACACTTAATGTGTTCTTTCAATTTCACTATTATTCCTTGAAAAGGATGGTGATGGACAGAAGATAAGAGATAGCTAGTATTGGAATACTGCATCTTCGCTTTCTACCTCTGTCCTTGCCTCTGATCCTCTTCCATCTTTCCTCCCACCCGTTCAAGAACTATTTTATTTGTATTCTTTATTTAGTGCCTACTATTGTAACTTCAAGTTTCAGGTATGCTGGATATGTATAATTGAAATTCTGATTAGAATTCCACAGAATGAATAAGTATCAAGAATTTTACATACTATTCAACAACTGCACCAAACTAAAATTAAGAACAGAAATATTAAAAATAAATATTGAATCATATTTCTGGGAGATGTTGATAGTTTGTCCTGATATATTTTTCCCATTTCACTTTCCCTCCTCTTCATGGTGATAGAGATGTTTGAGACTATATTTCTAAGCTGTTGTTTATCTACTGGTTGTAGAGATTTTTCTAGTCTATCAGATATGTAAACAATTTCTGTTGGTGCATGGTTTTCTCTAGACTTTGCTGGAAGATGCTGAGCGTTGCCGACATAAAATGCAAACTGCCTCAAGTCTTATAAGTGGTTTAGCAGGTGAAAAAGAGAGGTGGACAGAACAGAGTAAAGAATTTGCCATGCAAACCAAGAGGTTAGTTGGTAAGTTTTTATCCAAACCTTTGAAGATGGAAGCAAGTTGAATTGTAATGGGTAGTGAAACTAAAAACATTTGAAACATCAAACTTTTCCTTTGTATCTTAGGTCCCCGTCTCAAAAATGAGGGTAATTATTCTAATTCCCCTGCAAAAGCCCTGTTAGGTGAAAAATAAAGATAAGGCTAAAGTTCACATTAAAAAGAAAAGATAATGGATGCTGTGAATGTGGTGGCACATATCTGGGACACTAAAATTTTAACTTGACTGATGCTTGTAGGTAACAGTCCAAAGAGACTGATATGTTAGCAAGTGCCAATAAAACGTGTATAACTAAGAATATATATAGAGGCAAGTAAGACTGACACTCAGGCACTGACATTTATATGTAAAAATCAATATTTTTAACTGCAGTTACTAATGTACATAGAAATCTGCTTCTTAGAGGTCATTATTATTTTTTGAATTTTTACTTGTAAATTAACTCATTAGTCAGATCAATAAATGAAATTTATCTCGTCATTTACTGTGGGCTGAAGTTTCTTCTCTGCCCTCTATCTTGAAAGGCTACAAAAAGCAGCCTTGTTTTATAGGTCGTATTATAGTAACTAGGTTGTATTTTATTTGCTGGTATAATATATACATGAGTATTAACTTTTTAAAAATGTGGGATACCTTCCCCACAGATTCATCCTATTTCTTTTATAGATAACTTGAAAATGTCCAAAAAGTCTTAGCGTCAGTATAAAAGTGTGATATCTTCTCCAGTTTAAATCTTGCATTCTCATTTCAGAAGTACAAAACCCTCTCAAACTATGGTGTCATGAAATTTAGGGGGAAAATTTTGAAACTGAGCAGAAGATTAAAAGCTGTCACACATAATACCTCCATAATGATGTCTGTGACAGTTTTTATTACGAGTACTCATCATTGTAATTTGTTTACAATAATAATTTAATTGAATTAGTACTTACAAGGGGTTCTATCCCGCCCTCTCCCATTGTTCCTCCAATCACCCCTCCCATTGTTTAAGCCTGTTCTTATGAGTGCACAAAGAAATAATGGAATTAGAAATTTCTGAGTAAGTTCTCTCTGCCGTGTCCTCCTTGTGCAGGATCTGGTGTTTGGAATAGTGTTACATTTGTGTTGAGTTGACCTTAACAAGCTTCCAAATGCTGATCTCTTGATTCCTACAATTGCATAGTAAGAACAAAGTAAATGTGTCCTCTACTGAAATGTACCATTGTCATGCCATACAATGAGCCTTGGAAAAAGGATTGATTTGTCTTCTTTATGGGCCAAAGTGTATTCTTCAGCTACCAGCCAAAACATGTAGCAACTAGTGAAGGAAACAGCTTGTTCATTGATAGAATTGGCAAAGTTGTAACACTTTGGTTTTGGTTTTTTGTTTCCCTCCTTTTTCTCTTTGAGGTGATGTACTCTTGGCTACAGCTTTTCTGTCCTACTCTGGTCCTTTTAACCAAGAGTTCCGCAGTCTGCTGTTAAATGACTGGCAAAAGGAAATGAAAAGCCGTAAAATTCCTTTCCGTAACAACTTGAATCTCATTGAAATGTTGACTGATGCTCCAACTATCAGTGAATGGAACCTGCAAGGATTGCCAAATGATGACTTATCCATACAGAATGCGATCATTGTCACTAAAGCATCTCGTTATCCTTTATTAATTGATCCACAAGCACAGGGTAAAATTTGGATTAAAAATAAGGAAGGCAGAAATGACCTTCAGGTAATGGAAATGCTTGTGCTTTCTTAATCCCAAAAAACTCTTAGCTTACAGAGCATTGCAATTCAGTGATTCGCCTAATGCTTTATAAATGCCATTTATATAAAAAGTTTCTGGTTTGAAAATAACAAATATCTCAGATATATTTTAGTGGATTTGATATTTGGCTAGAGGTGGATGTGTATTTATTAGCACCAGTCACTCCATTTGTTTAAAGACTTTATTTTAATGAAACATAAACTTTGGAAAATAGGCTGGATGGGCGATGTCTGGTAATAAACATGTTTTCAGAATAATCTAAGTGTTAGGAAAAAAGCACCAACTAGTTGATTAATGATTAATACAATTTCATGTGTTTATAAATGAAGATTCACAGCAAGATATTTTTTCATCTTTTAATCAGAAATTATTGTTAATTTCCATTGTCTTAGTGTGGATGTCAGCTGCTATGTGCTCTGTGAATATACAGGGAAGATGTAGTGCTACAGTGTACAGTCTGAGAACGCTGTACCTGAAGATAAACAAATTAAATTCAAACAAGAAAATATGAGAAAGAATGTCCTTAGTGGCTACAATTATGATTACATCAATAAACTAGCTTTTAAAAAAAATCCCTGAAGCCATAAATGTAGTTTGTGGTGTTATAATAGAGTAGTTCTGATAATATTACTATCAATTTCATGCTGATTGTTATCTAGGTGTGGAAACCTTTAATGGTTGCTTAGTTATGATAAAAACGTTTATTAGTTTGTTTATAGTTTTATTAAAGTCTAAGCTGAATGTGCTTTTTGAACATATTGAAAATCCCAGTTATACTGGGGTCCATTTGAAGCAAAAACTGTTTAAGGTCCTGTTCCATGTAAACCTCTAATTTTCAAGTTTTTTAAAAAAACCTCCCTGAATACTTATCTTGAAATTGATTCTGCTGCAGTTTGACTTGGAGATGTTATCCAAGATAAAATTGAAGGTTCTAAAAGGTTCCTGTGAATTTTTTCTGTAAAATTCTTGAGTAATTGTACTCAGGGGATGTCAAAACTGCAAATGCTCAGCGCTGCTTTATTTCTACCTTTGCAGCTGAAAAATAGAACTTTGCATTCCATGAGATCTGGCAATAGAGTATGCTGATGTTACTGTTCCTTGCCTTAGTACTAATCTACTCACAGGATCATTGTTTTTGGCAGTAAAGAAAGTATTTCATTTAAAGAAAATTAAATAATTTATAAATATAAAACTAACAAAAAGCTTGGTAAATGGGCATAAAATATTACATCTACGTTTTCAGATCACTTCTTTGAATCACAAGTATTTTAGAAACCACTTAGAGGACAGTCTTTCTTTGGGAAGACCTCTTTTAGTAGAAGATGTTGGAGAAGAGCTTGACCCAGCACTTGATAATGTTTTGGAAAGAAACATCATTAAAACAGGTTCAGCCAATAAGGTAAAAATGAAACAAATGAGCAAATGTGGAAATTCCTCTTTCCTTCCCCTCCCCACACCATCTCCTTAGCAAAATAAATATAGTACTATAAAATATTAAACTCATTTAAACTTGATTAATGCTAATACAAGAAAAAATAAGGTAGAGTTAAGTTCCCAAAGGTTAATATATTTAATGTAAGGAGTTTCTTTTTCCTTTGCTTATGATAATTTTTAGAATTTGAAATAAGTCTGGAATAGGCCATTTAAAGTGGTTCTTGACTGTTCTCAACAAATTTCTTGCATCAGGCGTATGGTTTAAAACTGGATTTTTGTGCCTTTTGCAGTATCTGAAAAAGTGTGTATAGGCTCTTGATATTTAAAATATTCTTTTTAATATTTTTCTTAAGGTGAAAGTTGGTGATAAGGAAGTAGATGTTATGAATGGCTTCAGACTTTACATTACTACAAAACTGTCAAATCCGTGTTACTCTCCTGAAATTAGTGCTCAAACCTCCATCATTGATTTTACAGTAACCTTGAAAGGTCTTGAAAATCAGCTCTTAGGCAGAGTCATTCTCACAGAGAAACAGGTAAAAGAATTAAATGTATCTATTTTTCCTGGCTGTACCTGTAGAATGCTTAATTTTATTACTCTCTATTCCCATATTGCAAAGTAACTTTCTCTCTCTGTGTATTGTGATTATTCTTAATATAATCTATTTGTAATGGTTTAAAAAGTGGCACAGAAGCAATTGACTCATTCATGTGGAAGTTTCTCTGTCTCTTTATTATTGCAACTGTACTGTATTAACCTCATTTTTCTGCCTCATGAGAATGGCCTGTGAAAAGCCAAAGAGCCTGCAATCAAAACTGATCTTCTTCTGTCTACACTCTGGAGCTCATGGCAACATAACCTAGTGCAAAGAATTCAGACTTAGTTACTTCCTTGCTCCAAGGGAAAATGGGCTACCTACTTATTTTGTCATTGCAGATATATTAGTTGAGGAAGTCCAGGTTCAGGATACCAGTCCCAATCCACATGCCACCTGCAGTTCTGGAGGGAGGTTGATTGGTATCTTTTTAAGTATGGGACAGCTAATCCCTGTAACTATAAGGTCAGGCAATGTGATGTCGTAAGAAACACTATGCAGCTATGACTGTGTATTTACTAAGATTTGGCAATAGTTCCAGTTCACCTTCACTAGAGAGGAATAACAGGAATATCTTTGCTTCCTTATTGTGGCATCTGTTGAGGTTCTCCTGTCCTTCCAACATTTCCCTCTGCCCCGCCAATGTAAGATTTTTCTTATTAATAGCCTCAGTCATTTTGTTCACATCAAGTAGTTTAATTTCATTCCCAAACAGTGAATGGATCTTGTGAGAGAAATCACACTCAATCTGTTAAGATCTGCTTTTTGTCAGACAGCTTCATTGCACCATCAGCTTCTCTTCAACCACTGACAGCCTGTCAACCCACTATGTAATGAAATTATCACTGTCTGTCTAAAACACGCTGTGATGTGTATATTCACAAAGCCTTATGCCAAACTTCATTTCTTGGGCCTTGAAATACAGTACATTCCTCCAGGAGACAAATTCCTCCAGTCACTGCTGTTGCTGTGTGGTTGCTTGGAGGACACAGGAAAGGGAGGAGCTTGACTTTTCTCTGAGGAGTCAAGAAATAGATGGAGAAGTAAGAGACTCAAGTTGGAACATGGGGAATTCTGATTAGATATTAGGGAAAAAAGAATTACATTGAGAGTGGTTAAACGCAGGAGAAGCTTAACCAAGGATTTTGTGGAATTTTTATTCTTGGAAGGGTTCAAGATTCACGTGGACATTGCCCTAAGCAAATGAGCTGTTCAGATCTGAGCAGGGGTTGAACTAATTAATTTCTGTAGGTGCCTTCCAAATTAAAATTATTCTACTATTCAATGGCCTCTTTGTCACTAAATGGGAATGTCTAAAAAGTGGACATATGGTGCTCTCTCTACCAGCTTCTCAGTGTTATACTCACTATTGTTTTATTTGAAACCACCTGGAGATATTTCCTCTAGATAAATGATGAGTGTACCACTTAACAGGCAGGGGAACTTCTACAGAACATACTCACCATGTTGCAGTTTTCTTGGGTTCTTTTTATACATCTTGTGGTTCAAGGTTTCCTGAGGAGTCGTTTTGAACACATAACACCATCCAAATACTTTTCTATGATGGATAATGATGCATTTTTGGGAATATGGAGTTTCCCTCTTAACTGTCTGGATTCTTACTACCTTTTGTAGCCTTTGGTGGAAGAGTGGTGGAATTATTTTATTGTGAGGTAGTTAGTCAAATGATTTGGGCAGTATGGCTGCTTTGTGATATCCATTGTTACAATGTGTGTGTGGAACTTCTGTCCCAGAAAGAGAAGAGATTACTTATTTGAAATCAGAGTTCTTCAAGATTTTTATGCACGTTTCTATCCTTCCCATTCTCTCACCTCTTACATGGTTCTGGCTTAGAATGAATGAGGTTTAGACCTCAGCAAGGAAAAGGAATGTTTACAGCATGTCATTTAAAGTTTTTACAGAGTCGGACTCTCTGTTGTCTGCTATGACCATTAGAAGAATCTTTGTCACTTACATCTTACAGAATTAATTGTTTACTGATAGGAGCACTGGTGCTGATTTCTTATTTTCCACCAGAATGTTAAACCAATTGCAAGATACAGGTGAAGCATAAGGTCAATAGGCAGCTGGTATATCTGTATAAATGTGATTCTACTATATTTCTTGGATTTGAGAGATTTGATATATGTCTGAAGGTAGTATAACTTACGGTATTTTAATGATATCATTATTTTGATACATTGGCTGTTATGTAATTTGAAAAAAAAGTGCTTATTTAGTGTCATAGATAAGTCAAATTAGTAATAGAGTTATAATATGCAATAACTGTGGCTTTTTGAATTTTCACATTCATATATCAAGATTTTTGCTGGAAAAAGGCTCAAGTTTTGTAAGGAACAGTTGATAAAAATTCTTGTCTTGTGAATCATTTTGTGACAGGATGATATAAGCTATGTAGCAGCTTTCATATTTTATGAACATTAACAAGAAATAGCATTCTTTGGTACAGTCGGTAAAATGTCATCTGCTTGTGAAAGGAATTCCATAAAACTGGATTTGAAATAGCCTATTTGGTGCAAATTCCTTGAATTTATGTACACGGTAACTTGGCTTATTTTTTCTGCATCCTTGGTGTTACGACAGGAGATTTTTGAAGATATGAAGAAAGCTTTCAACTATTTACATTTTCTGATCTGCAAAAAGCATTTTAAGAGCTTAATAGGTGATTTTTTTTCTTCACTAAGGTTTTCATCTAGGGTTACTTCACTTTAGCTTGGTAACTGTTTCCAATTTGTTTCTCAGGCTCTTGTGAGGAGAATAGCTTTCTGTTTTGATGAAGCATTGAATTCTAAAGTATTTTTAACTTTTTAAACTGAACTCAGTAAAGCATAAAGTTTAATTTGGCTCAGTATGTTAATTATTATATTTAATTTGATGATAACTTTCTTTTAATACTATTTTTTAAAAGAAGTTTCTACTTCATCAAACTTGCATGAAAAAAATGCTTCATGAAGCTGTTACCTGGTTTTCTTCAGTTGCATGAAACAGTAGTTGATTGAAATGCAGCTAGCTGTTTTCTTGTCTATTTTCATCAGTTTTTGTCAGAATCTTTTGAATAAGTAAGAACATCTTCTGTTAGGTTGTATTTGCATTATTCTAAAATGGTTGCCCAACTAAATATTTTTTACCTGATGATGATAATGATGTTTCAATATTCCAAGAAAAACTCTAAATCAGATAATAATAAGATGATTTTTCTTAATTTCCTTTTTATGGTAATAGAATGTGGAAAAATAAAAATAAAAAAAAAGTTGTGATAGTGTTTCAAAGCTGTATACATGAAGACTACTCAAATGGGAGAGTAAAACACCTCTCCTTACACCTTGCTAAGGGCTCAGGTCCATTATGTCTCTAGTGCTATATGAGAAGTCATGTATTTCTTAGTGCTGTCCCTGTTTCTTTGGAATATTAGCAGCTACTAAGCAACATGGACATGGATTTGGCAATGATGGAGTGAACATAGAACTTCCAGGTTTGGGGGGACATTGTTAAAATTATTCACCAGACCTTTATAAACTTTGTGAAGTAATTAACTAGACAGCAAATATTTCTAACAACTGGTTCACTTACTCTTCATTCGTAAGATTCATATTAAACTTATCTCATGAAAAACTCTTAACCCACCCTCTCTCTTTTCTTTCCTTTTACTTCACTATGTTGAAACATTTTTTAATATCTCAGTAGAGGATTTTTATCTCTGAGGGACTTATTTGTATTAATTTTTTAAAGGTTAATTTTAAGAATGAACTGAAAGGACTATTATAGCTGAAAAATATTTTTCTAGAGATTTCAAATAGCTGTTTTTTAATGTAAAACTCCTAATTAATAGTTATCCATCTTCTATATTTGGGCACTGGAAAAGAAACTAGGTACATAAATCACCCACATTGTACTACTAAATGTATAAAATAAATACTTCTAGTAAAGTAACTCAAGTCCTACACACTTTCTTAAGCAATGAAGTATTTTAGTAAGAGGCTGAAATTATCCCTGTTTGATGGAGGAGTATTGGCACTTCTTGAAATATCTGATGCTTGATTCAATGACTAAGGATGGCCATTAAGACTAAATTTTCAACATGGTGATTGTAAAGCAAGACATGAATGAGGATAAGATTACATGGAGGGGAATAAAAACTTATGTCTGGAGTAGTGTTTGCATTCATCTTTTCTGAAACAGAAAGAGAAGGCAAACAATTGCAAACTTATTATTCTTTTAGGGCTTGATACAAACATCTTCCATAATATTTGTAGAAATGATTTGTTAATGTCTACTTATGTAGCAGGTTAAGATCCTGGCAGTCAATATTTGTGTCAAAAATACCACTGGAATTTCCCCAGATTAATGCAGCTAGTCTTGGCCTACACTGTTCTTGTAGGATCACTATTTTTTAAGCAAAATGTTTTATTTTTATTTTTGATTGCTCTTCTGTTTCCCAAATATTACCATGTAATACAATAGGAATTAGAGAAAGAAAGAACTGATCTTATTGAAGATGTGACTATGAACAAAAGGAGGATTAAAGACCTAGAAGATAACCTTTTATTTCGACTTACAAGCACTAAGAGTTCTCTGGCAGATGATGAGACTCTACTAATTGTATTGAGTAACACTAAGAAGACTGCTGAGGAAGTAACACAGAAACTACAAACTTCTGCTGAAACTGAAGTGCAGATCAATACAGCCCGTGAAGAGTACAGACCTGGTGAGTGAAGGTAGTGATGGAAGACTAATAGCTACACCATGTATTTAAAACATCAATACTTAAACTGGGAGAAACTGTAGGATGCGATCAGGAAGACCAAAACTGGTAGGAGAGATCTGTGTTTTTCTGTAAGTAAAATGTATCTAGGAAATGTCATATTGAGTTATAATGGAGAAAATAGTCAATGTTATGCCTCATGTGGAATTTATAAAATCGAGTGAATTGTTCTCTTCGTAGGCTTCCCATTGCTCTATAAACAAGTGTATCAGTCATTAGGGTGTTTAGGTAAGTATGAGTTCAACATGTTGACATTCTTTTACAGAACTTATATAGCATTAAGTACTCTTTATATCAGTTCTGATGAATGCTTCATCATTTATCCTTAGGTTATTATAGTCAGCACATTTCATGAGTCTTTTGTCTTTTAACTAACAGGTCATAATGTGAAAAAAACAGGGGGGAAAATATCTTTCTGTAATTGCCTGCATTCTAGGAAATGAGTAAGGTGGTACAGTTAGTGTATGAGAAACATTACAGATATTGTAAAACCTTTGCATTTAAAACTGAATGACTGCTAAAAAGAAGTTAAATCAGTGCTGGGAAGTTAAATCAATACAGTTAACTTGACTTTTATATGACACTTGTAAAAGTCTGTAAAAAGAAATTTATTTGGATACTTAAACAGCAAACAACCATAATTTTTATATGTTCTGCTGATGATCTCAATATTGCAGTGTACTATCAGGCTGCTCTCCAGACATGCTTATATTTGAAAACTGGACTTCACATACTTTGCATTAATTACAGAATTTATTTTTTCCCCTGATGTATAAACTAGGGTTAAATGAATGATTTTTATTATTTTTTTATTATTTATTATTTTTCTGGCAGTAATGAGTAGAGAAACTCAAGGTTCTTCAGTTATCATTAGTGTTAAAATCACTGCACCTGTTTTGGAGAGTTGAAGTTTTCAGCTCTGCATTTCTGCTTTGAACAAATTTTTCTTTCCCATTCTTCAGTTGCAACTCGAGGTAGCATCTTGTACTTCCTTCTCACTGAGATGAGCATGGTCAATGTCATGTATCAGACATCGCTTTGGCAGTTTTTGGGGCTTTTTGACCGCTCTCTAGCCAGGTAATTTAGCTAACAATAAGTATAATTTGTATTTACCCAGTCCTGGAGGTGCTTGCAGTACAGTAAAGATTTATTGCAAACTAATATCAGAAAGAAGACTGCTGCTTCTTATCATCTTGACCAGGAATTGTCAGCTTAATACCCATAGAACTTTGTCACTTAGCAAAGCAAAGAACCTTCTAATGCACTTAGAGTCTTTCAAAACTTGCCATTAGATAATAAAAAAATATTATACTGCATTGATTTTCAGCCGGGCAAAAAATCTTGATTAGAAAGGATTTTTTTGTTGTTGTTGTTGTTGCTTCAATCTGAAAGTTGTTGCCTGTTTGCAGTCTGATATTCTCTTCTAAATCTATTATTTTTCATATTTTGAAAATACTGAACTATGGCCTTTTCTCTTTTGCACAGTATTCCTTTTTATAAAGCCTAAGAAAATCACCTTTCAACTGCAGACCTTTCTTCTAACAGGTCTACCAAGAGCCCTATAACCAGCAAGAGGGTTACCAATATCATTGAACATATGACATATGAAATATTCAAATATACTGCCCGAGGGCTCTATGAGGAGCACAAATTTCTTTTCACATTACTGCTTACTTTGAAGATTGATATACAAAGAAACAGAGTGAAGCATGAAGAATTTCTGACACTTATTAAAGGTTGGAACTATGAATAAATTTTAATGAGAACACATTATTATTATAGAAAATTTATGTATTTGTATCTCCTAGCCAGCATGCTCCTTCCTTTTGCACATGAGAACCCAGTCAGTTGTAACAATACATGTTTATCATTCTGATCTGGTGACAGACAACATTGTCTGGTAGTTCTAATTTATAGCAGCACACTGAATATTGATGAATATATCTTTGTAATCGTGAGAATTTAAAAGGAATATTGTTAAGTATCCTTTATGTCTACTGCTCAAATACCATCAGGTATATGTTTAGATAATAGAAAGATTATCTTAGTAGAAATATTATTATTGTACTAAACATATAGAAACTGTAGCAAATAGGAGCAGAAAATGATGCTAACAGTTTAAAAGGACATCGGAGTCTAAGCTGCCTGTGACAAGGTCAAGGCTTTGGTCTTGAGTGCATACAAGGACTGAGTTCACTTGAATGTTTGGATCCACTTTACCTTTTCAAGAGACTTAATTTTCCAGGCAACATTTATTTATGGATTGTATATGTGAATTTTTCCATGTTGAATTTTCAGTATATCTTTTCCCAAAAAGCATTTAATTCCAGGCACATTGCACAAAAAACCAGTAAAGCCTCAAAATATAAATTGATTAAGACTTCTGTTTAAGGCACAAAATATATAAAAAGAAAATAATATTATAAACTAACCAAATTGCAAACTCAGCTTAATCAAATATGGCATAGTTTTGTAAGGTAGAAAACTCCTGTAGCATCATGATTTAAAAACTGGATTATTGTATTTGATTTTTCCCTTTTATTTGGTTTATTTTTCTTTGTCTCTCCAATAGTACTAATGACTCATTTCAATTTCTTGTAGGTGGTGCTTCCCTAGACCTTAAAGCTTGTCCTCCTAAGCCAGCTAAATGGATTCTGGATATGACTTGGTTGAACTTGGTGGAGCTCAGTAAGCTTAAACAGTTTTCAGATATTCTTGATCAAGTGCGTAAGAGCTTTTTAAAGTTGATCTCTTGTTTAACAAGTAATTGTCTGGTAGTCATCAAGCCAAATGGTGAAAACTGGTTTATTTTGTAGAAGTGAAACAAAACTGACAGCAGATAGCCACAGTTATGGCCCTGTCTGCTTAGCAACTTATGTTGATATAAAGACTCAACCACCCCTAGGAAAATAAGAGTGTAGAGTGTTCACACTTTATATAATTATAATAATTTCAGATTATCAACTTGCCATTGTCCAAGTCATACATTGTAACTTTATTCTTATTCTAGTTGTTAGTTTATCTTACATCCCTGTTGTACTTTCTTACACTGTGTTTTATGATGCTTGTTCCAGTATTTCTCTGGTTACATAGAATAAAAGTAAGGGAGAAGGTGTTCAGTAAATTCAGTACTTGTATGAAGAGTCTTACGGGACACTAAGTGTATTGTAGCTAATGGTAAATAGCTTTTGGTATGGGTGAAGAAAACTTTTCTGCGCATTCATGAGGGGAGCAATTATGTACTTGCTGTTCTCAAAGCCATATCTGTGCCTAACTAACCATGTTCTGACATAGATAATATTATATCATAATAGAAAATACTGATTAGTAGCTCCTGTTTTCAGAATATGAATACTCTAGGGTGTTGCATTCTACAATAGCACACTTACAATCTGAAATTTTATCCTATCATTTTTAATAGCCTTATTAAATCTGTGGAAGAATATCTCTAAACAAATGCCTGGGTGTGGATTACATGTCTATGACTCTCATTAAAAGTTTGCAACCTAGTGGCAGTGCAAAGATGACTTGTCTGCTTAGTGATATTTGCTTCTTTGACGGTATAATTGCAGATTTCCAGAGAAGAGAAGCAGTGGAAAATCTGGTTTGATAGTAAGAATCCCGAAGAAGAATTGGTTCCTAGTGGATATGGGCAATCTCTGGACTGCTTCAGACATCTTCTTCTTGTCAGATCTTGGTGTCCTGACAGGACCATAGCTCAGGTATATTTAGATAGCTACATGGTCTATCTAGGTAGCACTAGAATTATAGTTTCCAGATTGCAGGTTAATACTATCTTACATAATTCCAAACACCTTTTTGTAATGGACCTTTATGCTGTATTTTCTGAAATTCTTTTCAGACCATTTATGTATTTCTTACAAGGGCAGTGATAACAAAGTTATGCGAATATATTGAACAAATATTATCCACTGTGGTAGATATCACTGTGGTGATTTCTGCTGGAATCATAAGTGTTTACCCAGATCTGCTTTATTAGTTCAGAAGATACTTTTGGCTTTCCTGGCTTACTCACTGGAATTTTAGAAGTGTCCTCATGTTAGGCTGAAGTAAAATATTTTAATGAACCCGACTGTCTGAGAGAAAACTGAAAAAGATTTAATTGAGAAACTATTTCTTGCATGGAAGAATTAGACCCACTTTAGAAAAAAATATTTGTTAAAGTCTGCTCAAAGCTCTCAATTTAAAGCCATTTATTTAAAAAGTACAAAAGTGAAGCTTATTAAATAGACCTTTTTAAAAGAAAAATCATCTTCTAGGAGCCTATTTTTTACTTTCATGTTCTTCTCCAGTAAAAAAGAACAAAAAAATATAAAATTACTTGCAATTCAGAACAATTAATGACAATTTACTTAAATTGGAATGCACCACTTGAAATGTGGTATTAATTTTATTGATGCATGTCTTTAGACATTATGATTGGATTCAGAGAAAAATCTCAGCAATTATTGGAGTAACTGCAGTCAATAGGTTAAGCAGTACTGTATAAAGAATATCTCTGTGGTGTCTGCGATGTGTCTGAAACAGATCATGCAAGATTAGTTTCTCCCTACTGTTAATGAGGCAAGGTAGACTTTCATCTTTTGATGGTTTTATGAAAACTGATAGTTTATCAAATGTTTAATTTTTTTATAATGCTGAATGTCTTTTGTCTCTGAGAGGTAACCCAGAGGTATTAAGGGGAAGATTGATGTAAGATGAAAGCTGTGTGGTGGGAAAGAGTACAAGAAAGATTATCTCAGGCTGTTTGAAAGAGCCTTTTCTATTTCTTTGTGAAAAAGGAAACTAACCTAGAATTTTTAAAGATAAATAAAGAAGAAATAAGAGATGGTTTTCACCTGTCTCTGGATTGTCTAATTAGTGACAGTTATTTTAATCATTACTACTGTTAATTCATTGCTTGTTTAACTGTAAAGTGAGAAAGGTCTAAGAACTTTGAAGCCCATCTTTAATCCTTTTCTCCTATTTTTCTAGATTTTGAGGCTAGGAGTAATGGAGATAGCCTTAAATCATTCAAAATTTTCTCAAGTATTAAAGAAGTTATTATTTTTATTATACTCTAATATAGTTATTTTATATAACTACATACAGATGAACATAATATAATAATTATTTAAAAGATTTTAACTGGTCATATAAGGCTATAAGAAATAACCTCTTCAGAGACAGTATGATGGGTTGACATGTAAAAATAAACTTGCATATTTATATTTTTGATATAAATTTTTAGCAGCCTTTGATCTTCTTCTACTTATTGGTAGTATTTACACTGGGAAGAAAACAGTACTAAGTGGTTAGGTCACAAGTTAAGTTTGCCCTTTTTAATATAGGCAAGAAAATATATCTCTGACACTATGGGGGAGAAATATGCAGAGGGAGTCATCTTGGACTTGGAGAAAACATGGGAAGAGTCAGATCCACGTACTCCCCTCATATGCTTTCTTTCCATGGGCTCTGATCCTACGGACTCAATTATTGCTTTGGGAAAAAGACTGAAGACAGAAACGTGTTGTGTCTCCATGGGCCAGGGGCAAGGAATCCATGCTCGTCAACTTCTACAGCAGACAATGGCTCATGTAAGCAACAAAAATCTGAACATTTTTCTCTCTGTGTTAAATACTTAGAAATAAAAATCCTGCCATGCAAGAATATTGTTTGGTGGGTAATTAATGCTGATGTAAACCCCTATATTTATTTATATAAGTGTCCTAAGCTAGAGAACTGTCTTTTCACGGTCCTTCAATTTGCTATAACAAGCTTCTTGATATTCTGCAGATGTTTTTCATTGAAAATGGAGAGCTTTTCATATAAAATGGAATTTTTATAGCTAATTGCAGACTGATGAACATAGCTGAATCAATTTTTTGAGTTTTTTTTTTGTTTTATCACCAGTAAATATTCTTCTGTAAGCATTTCAGATTATTTTTTCAGTTTTTTATTTTTAGTAATATGGATGTACTTTGTTAAATGAAGAAATGAATTCCAAATATGCTATTGACAGTTACATAAACTTGAAAAAAACAAGGTAGCTTAGCAAGTTATTTTGTATTTCTGTAGTCTGAATTTGGACTTGGGAGGGACAATTTGGTAGCATAGGCATTTTACAGGAAGAGGAATTAAAGAACAAAACTATCTGTGTGAGAAAGGTGAGATGTTCCAATTTGGCATGCTTTGCCCATCAGGTGATACTACTGCTATGCCTGCTGATGTGAAAATACTGATCTTACTTTCCTGTGTTATGAGCTTCTGTTTATAACCTGTTTTACTCTGACTTCTGCTTTTTTCTCTTCAACAAGAGTTTAATAACTTCTCATAAGGAACTAATTAGGAAGTCAAATGAGAAGAAATCCATTAAAAAATAGGGGAGAGGAGCACCTTTTGTTTAGTTAAGAGAAATGCGGTTACTTTCCCTGTCTCACAAGTCCTCTTAACAAAGAGGTATATGAGATGCCTATAATGAAATACAGTAATTCATATAAGAAAGCTTGACATCTATTGATTGATAGCAATAGAATAATTATGTTTGTTTACTTGGTTATTTTCCAAGCCTGGAACCCTTGTGAAAATCAAAGTTTAGCAGGTTGCTCTATGGAGCTACTCCTGCGATCCCTAATGTAAGTAAAAATTTATCAATTTCTGTCATCACTGTAGTCATGACAAGGTATGTTTTAAATTTATTAAAATGAAAAAGGTAGAAACTATTTGAAAAGACCAGATGAGACAAGTGATGGGACCACTTGTTCAGGTGAAAAAAAAACCAAATAAGCTAACGCCATCTTCCAAAGAAACAGCTCACAGCTCCTCAAGGAGTGATTTCAGTTTGTGAACAATATTGATAACTTCTTATATTCTATTGTTTTAAACTAGGGAGGTTGGGCACTTCTGCAAAATTGCCACCTTGGACTTGACTTTCTGGATGAGTTAATGGACACTGTAATAGAGACAGAGACTGTTCATGAAAGCTTTCGACTGTGGATGACAACTGACATTCACAAGCAGTTCCCAATCGCCCTTCTTCAAATGTCAATTAAGTTTACCAATGAACCACCACAAGGACTCAGAGCTGGACTAAAGAGAACATACAGTGGTGAGTGCTAGCATGTAATGATTTAAAATTAGATTTTGGACTGTGATGGTATTGTGTGGTTGTGTTAAACTGGTAGTAGGTGTAAGCTAGTATGAGGAACTGATCTCAACGATGTCAGGACACGTTTTACTCTTTGTTTTGAAAATTAAAAAGAAGGGAAGATTTGCTGATGTTCTGGTGCTAGAACTAATTGGATAGCAAAACAGGAAATGCCTTTTATTTTCTCACGTGTTGGCTTCTAGTATCTCAGGTCAAAGTATTTGAATTTTTAATATTTTGTCTTTTGGCAGAAAGATGACACAGTTGGCTATCAAGTGCTGTTTTCACTACATAAAATAAAGGAGAAATATTCTGTGCAGAAAGCAACTTGTAAAGCTTGTACAGCTATTAGTGAATGGTGGGTTTTTTCCCCCTGAAGTTTACTCTTTTAATTGGAGCAACTTAATAACATGCTATAAACTGTCTCCGGTACAGAACATTTTTTGGGACAATAATGTACCCTTGGGAGAGGCAGAGAGCCAAGTGAATATCTCTAGAGTGATATTTTAGCACTCATTTTAAGTAGTTTTGGAAAAGACGATTACTGTGATTCTTATAAAGTCCATTTGCAATCAATAGGTGTCAGCCAGGATTTATTAGATGCCAGTAAAATGGTGCAATGGAAACCACTGCTGTATGCTGTAGCCTTCCTGCACTCCACTGTTCAAGAAAGGCGCAAGTTTGGGTCTCTGGGTTGGAATATACCCTATGAGTTTAATCAAGCTGATTTCAATGCTACTGTGCAGTTCGTTCAAAACCACTTGAATCGCATGGATACCAAGAAGGTAATTAATGATTTTGTGAGAAAGGTGAATTAAGATGATGGATCTTTCTAGCAGTGGAATGTATGTAGATGCTTCCTAATAACTGAACTACAAGAGTGATTTTAACTTACTGTTTTTTCCACAAGCATTCAATATTTCAAGTATACCTGTCTCTATAGCAGCAGACTTAGACTTCTAATACAGTGCATGTTTAATTTCTGTATTAACCTCTACCTCAAAAAAACAAACAACAAACCTTCCCAGCCATCTCAGAAATATAAACCTAGAAGTATAGACCCTCTTTTTAATTCTAATTAAGTCAATTAGTTAAAAAGGAAGATTTAAAATACTCTTTTATTTAAATCTATTTCAAGTAAAAATAATAAGATTTGCCCCCCACCAACCTATCATTGCAGCATGAAGAAATCAAAATTGGTTTTAAGTGTTTATACAAGAATTTCTTCTGTTTTTCACTTTCATGTGGTCACTTGTCATACAGAAAGGTCTGTTGCAGAGCAATTTGCAGTTGGCATTTTAAGTGAAAGGAGGATTCAAATACATCTGTAACCTTTTCTTGCTATCATCAAGATGCTCTTGAATTTGTCAATGAATTATTTCTTGAGAAATCTTTGCAGGTGTTCTGGGAATGCAAGACTACGATAAAAAAAAAGAGTAATAGGAAATTAACTTTCTTCCAAATGGGACAGACATGCTACATCAGTTGTTTTCACTAAGGCAGACCTAAGTAAATAAGAAGAGGATTAGCTAAAGTCAGTGCTTTCTTCTTGGTTTTAGGGGATCTCCTGGAGTACTGTTTGTTACATGATAGGTGAGATCCAGTATGGTGGTCGTGTGACAGATGACTTTGACAAAAGGCTCATGAACACCTTTGTAAAGGTTTGGTTCAGTGAAAATACATTCAGTCCGGAATTTAGCTTCTACAAAGGATACAGCATACCCAAATGTACTATAGTGGATCAATACCTTCAGTATATACAGGTTAGTAAAAGAAAGCTAATCACTAGTTTCTTGTAAATTCCTTATTCCCTTTAAGTTTTCTTTTTTTCTGAGGATGTGCATTTTTCCTTTCATTCACAGATTAAATCGATTTCTAGCAATTTGAATATCTATTAGTGACAATTACTGTTATCAATGTTATCATCTCCATGACAGCAATATTTTTTATTCTTTTTTATATGGTTTGCTTGCGTAACGTATGTAAAGACACAGAGTTATAAAAGGGGGCAAAGAGTGGAGTCCAGACATTGTGTACAACCACTTTGAAATAAACTGTCTAGATATATGAGAATAAAAGTCTATTATTAATATAGCACATAGATGTTAAAACACAATTTGTTTCGTGTGATTTGGGCTGTGGCATGACAAATAGACCACAGCAAGTTATTTGGCTTAAGACTATCTGAAGAAATCTGGCTTCTTACTTAATTTTTTTCTGGGTTTTTTTTTTGTTTGTTTGGTTTTGTTGTGTGTGGAGTTTTATGGGGTTTTTTATTTTATGTTATAGGGATTTTTTTTGTGTGTGTTTTTTTAAAATGGACTGCTTCCAAATCTCCAGCTGTACTCTTTTTATATTTTACTATGTAGAGCCTTCCTGCTTATGACACACCAGAGGTGTTTGGTTTGCACCCCAACGCGGATATCACCTACCAAAGTAAAGTTTCCAAAGATGTATTGGACACCATCCTCAGTATTCAGCCTAAAGATAGCTCTGGTGGAGGAGGTGAAACTCGAGAGGAAGTTGTAGCCAGACTGGCTGCTGATATGCTGGAGAAAATTCCTGCTGATTATGTACCATTTGAAGTGAGTTAATGAAATTCTGGCAAAAACATTTGCTCCATCTTACCTTTTATGGATAAAAAAACAAAAACCAAAACAACCAACAACTTTTCTCAAATATTTAAATTATTTCATACAGGAAATACTTTGTTTTTAAAGAAGTGTGGCCAAACTATTAATGTTTATAATGAAGTCATTAAATATGTGCTGAAGTGCTTTCATAAGAGCTTTTTCGGAAATATTAAACCCATTAACATTTAAGTTGTTTGCACTATGAGGAAGGTAGGACCATCAGCTTTTAACAGAGGTTGTTGACACTATAAAATTTCTAGTTATGTCCATGCGGCTGTTTATTTTTTAATTTTATACTTTTGATTAAAAATACATCAATGAGTTTGGTTAGAATACAAGACTGTATGGTATTGTGATAGTTCCCAGGCATTGCTGCTTTGTTGAAGCAGAGTAGCTGGGACAATTAGTCTTGACTGGTTTGTGCAAAGGGAGCTTTGGAACTGCTTGTTGGAATTAAAGCTGAATTCCTCCATCTAAGGTAAACAGCCTACAAGCTCTTTAAGTGGCATTAGCTCAAAGCATGATATACAGACTAAATCATGACTTAAAAACATAGCCAGTCTCAGCATCATACATTTCTCTTGGAACAAATCCTGTGTTTCTTTCTTGCAGATAATTCAAGGGTGCCAAACTGACCATTTAGCTTCATAAAAATAAATTATTTTATGTCTCAATGATCATATTGGGATCTAAGCTTGACATAAAGCCATTTTTTTTTTTTTTCATTTCTATTGAAGGATCTTTGGTTTCCTACCAACAGGTAAAAGAAAAACTAAAGAACATGGGGCCTTTTCAGCCTATGCACATATTTTTGCGACAGGAGATTGAACAAATGCAGAGAGTTATTTCTTTAGTGAGAAGCACTCTGACTGATCTAAAACTTGCCATTGATGGGACAATAGTTATGAGTGAGAATCTGAGGGATGCTTTAGACTGCATGTATGATGGAAGGATTCCTGCCAGCTGGAAAAAGGTAGGTGTACATCACTTGTTCTGGAAAGAAATAAAAATATTTCTGAAGAGACTGGATTAAACTGCTAGACTTATAGTAAACATTTTTTTTTTCCAAACTGTGTTTCAGAAGTGTTAACCAGAGCTGTGCAACTGCTGGAATAGATTTTGTGCTAAAATAAACATAGTCAAAACAAGCCTTCTTTCATGTATAAAAATTGAAATGAACGTGAGGGATGCAGATATTTCCCATTTTAACAGCCTGTTGCATATTGTCAGGATAAAAAAGCCAGAGAGAGGAGAGAAATTTAAAATGTGATGATGAATTTTAAAAAATAGCACCCACGTCATTGGACTGCTGTTATTTATTGAACATATATAATTTTTATATATTCCTTTTCTGGGTTAAGTAGAGGTGGCCTGTCCATCTTGGTCAAAATCAGTGTACTTTGAATTTGAGTAATAGCTACATAATTACGAAATAGTAGATGCTTGAAAGGACCTATGGAGACAGTCTAGTTTAATCACACTTCTGAAAGCAGGGTCAGTTAAAGAAGGTTTCCCAGGAGTCTCCAGAATCACAGAGGTGCAACCCATTCCACTGTTTGATCACCTTCACAGTAAAAACAACCACCAGCCAAACAAACAAAAAATCCTTTAAGTGGAAACAAAATTTCTGACATTTCACCTTGTTCCTATTGCCTTCTCTCCTATTGCTGACAAAGATCAGGCTCTGTCGTCTTCTGGTTTCCACATGAGATAGAAACATATTATCTCCTTTGAGCCTTCTCTTCTCCAGGCTAAACAATCCCAGCTCTCAGTCTCTCCCCATGGAAATTCCTTTCTGAGACAATTAGAGCTGCTAACGGCAATTGATGGAAAGAAAAATGGGGAGATTTTTTGTTGTTTGCTTGTTTTGTTTCTACTGACAAAGTGTTTTCATGGTACAAAACCTAGGTGTAAACAGGTGCTTCACAACACAGCTATATCTCCACATAGTCCAAGTTCAGTTTTCCATAGGTTTTATTCAGAATAATAAAAATGCAGAACAGTTTTACAGAAATCATGTTGTCTTGATATATTGACATTGGAATTATAAAGACATTTATGCAATTTTTCTTCTTAGTTTATACAGTTGTCTAACCTTGCAAAAATGTCATAAAATGGACAATTACTACAGAGAACATTAAGCATGTAAATGGAATAGTATACATGAATTTGAACAGAGAAAGAATTTCCTTCAAGTTTTTGTGGGATGCAAAGTTTAAGCATCAGATTAAAGTTAAGATATGATAGATGATCTTCAAATATGCTTTGCTAATATTATATAGTTTATTACCATGGGAGCTCTTCTTGACAGCTGTATGCTATTTTTAAACATGTTTACTGTTTCTAGGCATCTTGGCCTTCCAGTACACTTGGTTTCTGGTTTACTGAGTTTCTAGAAAGAAATCACCAGATTTATAAATGGATTTTTGAAAGTCAACCAAACTGCTTCTGGATGACAGGGTTTTTTAATCCTCAAGGATTTTTAACTGCAGTGAGACAGGTAAATTGTGCTTTAAGTCTTATTCTGCTGATTTTTTTTACATGCTTTTAAAAATAAAATGTATTGTCTGACAAAGGATGAGTTTAGACACTTGGAAAGATGTTTGACTGTCTAGCATTTCCTGAGTGAACATACATACTCTTCCTTCACACATACTTTTTCAGTATATCAACCACTAATGTGTTAAAATATGTTTCCTGTGTTGACCAACACCCAAATAAGGCTATCTCACAACATTATTAAGGCAGACTAGAAAAATATTTTGTCTCATGTTTCCATTGAGATATCTTTGAGAATGGCCATTAAGTCCATGAATTTGCCTTTTTCCCACCTCTCTTTTGTTATGTGTTCTGTACTTACCTGCATGGAGACTGGGCATAAAAGCTATTCAGAATTAGTCTTACATTTCACTTCTGCTGTTCAGTAGCTGATTAAATCTTCAGGAAGTGGGAAAGACTTTCCCTTATTAATGCATATGACATTTGATGTGTTTACTAATGTATGTATGTTGACTTGGTGATTGTGTTGGCTGCTCAGCAACTTTTTTACTTTAAAGGGAAGCAATAAATGCCTGTGTTGGTCAGCATAAGGGGACATATTGGAGAAAATAAGCATCTGGAATGTGTAAAATGTAAAAAAGTCTACCTAGGTGAAAATACACTGTGACCTCAGGAAAAAAAGCCCAAACTTTTGGAGAAGAAAACGAAGATTTGTGGAAAAATATCCCCTCTTACTCTGAGGTCTGGGTAATGTAATCTAAAATTTCAGGCATATAGCATTGGAATTATGAGTGAACAGTCCTAAACTGGGACTCTCTTTTGCATCCAAGCTCGTGTAAAAGGTTTACTGGCAGGATCCAAAACAGTTGGAAACTACAGAATTTTCTGATTCCATAAAAAGGAACTGTGGATATGTAACAACCTAATATCCCAAGTAAATACAAAAGTAAGTTTCTGGGCTTCACTGTTTGGTAAAACAAATAGAAATGAGAAAGAAGAGTCAGAATGATCACTGGGCTATAAATCTTGAGTTCTTTTAGATCACCCAAGTAACTGCAGTATGGGGAAAACATTCATTCCAATTACTTCAAACAAAGATTTTTGAAGCCATTCAAAAGATCAGGATAAAACTTTGGTTTGCCATAACTTATATTTGCATGGGATAGTAAAGAACTGGGCACCTGAGAACACACAACAATTGTGTGTTGTCCAAATCATTAACTAACAGGGTTTTTTTGCAGTCTCTTTACATAGCTTTATATCTGATTTATATATATATGATATAATTTCTGTCTAATGAGTTCTTACTCATTAAGAATACTGAAAAGTAGAGGTGCAGGAAGAGGAAAGTAACCCCAGGAAATATGTTTCACTTACCCCATACAGGTAATGTTTTCTCATCTCATCAAATATGTGAATTTTTTGTGTTCACAAGAGCTGTCTACCATTGGCATTCAGTGGTTGTGTTACTTGGTATGGTCTTTAGATATTTTATATAATAGAAATTAAAATCAAATTTAGTGGAAAAAGTACTGAAAGCTTTCTTGTAGTGCCATGCCATCACTTCTTTGGAGAAAAGTCAGACTTCTGTGAACATGAACATATGTGAACATATATTGTAAAGAATTGGGGAGTTTTTGTACTGAAGAGGGTATATTATGACCATACAAATTTATTTCTAATAACTGCTGGGAAAAAGGGTTCTGTGCTCATGTGAAAGTGTAACTACATAACTTTTTTCTGGTTTGGGCAGGAAATAACAAGAGCTAACAAAGGATGGGCTCTTGACAGTGTGGTGCTGTGCAATGAAGTCACTAAATGGATGAAGGATGATATCACAAGCCCTCCTTCCGAAGGTGTCTACGTGTATGGGCTGTATTTGGAAGGAGCTGGTTGGGACAGAAGAAACGTGAGACTGACAGAATCTAAGCCCAAGGTGCTCTTCGAGCTGATGCCAGTTATAAGGATATATGCAGAGAATAACAGTAAGTACCAGTATTGTAAATGTTGTTATTTCCATTTAATTTAATGTAACTTTTTATTTAACTTCATCAAGATCTTTTCACCTGTAGGAATTTCATTAAGCTGTTGCAAATCATTGTATACATAGCAAATCTCTTTCAATGGGGTAGACTTCCCAGACATCCACTGAAAATGTCTTTTCAGACATGCTTCATAATTGATAGTAGGCACTCTTCCTAATATTTACATAGGTGTCTACACATGGTTTTAATGGTGTTAAGAAATTTGTAACCCATTTACAGGTAAGCTGTACATATTGACAATGTCTCCCAGATTGAAAACGCCATCTTTCTTATACATAATCTCTGTATAAATATAGGCTCTGTAGCCTCTATAACCTAAATCTAAATAATCTCTTTTACTCATGCTAAAAATTAATGTTATATATATATAAACATATAATATGTATACATTCATATAAGATATACATAGATTATATATATACACACAGATTATATACATACAGATATATATATAATATATGTTCAGATTTATACCGATTTTATATATACACACATATACATGTATATATTACACTTATAGATCACATGTTATCTATACTACATATGTACTATATATATATAGATAATGTATATATTTATAATTTTTTTTTCCCCTGGACAAGTCTGATTTTGAGCTCATGGAAACAGGAAAGAGGTGGAGTGAGGTGGTGGGAGATGTTTTGTCTTTGAGGCAGAAAAGGAATGTAGTAATGGAAAGGAAACTTACGGGGCTTAAGGACAGTGCTGTGAAAATGTGTACTTTGCCTTAATGTGGTGGGTTTTTGCATATAGAATAGGACATGCTCTTGAATAGGGATGTAAAAAAGAATATAGAAAATGACTGCAGAACATAAAATTGGAAAAAATCTGTTGAAAAGCATTCCGCCTCTAAAAGCAAAGCTTGCTAACATGCTATTTTGTATAGCTAATATTTTATAAAAGGCATGATCAGCAGTCAAGATACTAATAAATGAATACTGAGGTACTGAGCATGAGTAGACTACTGTTCTAATTCTGCAGTGAAGTAGTTGATGACTTATACTCTCAAAAACTAAATGCATTTCAAACCAAGTTGCTCAAAGTAGGGGAATTTTATTTTGGCATAGTACATTGATAAGAAGTGATGTTCAGTGGGCAGATTGAACTAATAGGAAGACTAATTACTCTAGAATGTCCATTTACATGTCTTGCTTTGAATCAGTTCCTAGGTGCTCATGTTAAATCTTAAACCTACAGAAACTTCAAAGCATATATGTTCTTCAGCTGGCAATAGCAAATAGAGAGCAGTGTACTATTGAACTTGGATTCAGTTTTCCATTTGCCTTATGATCATTCTCTTATGGCCCCATTTTTTCAACTTAGCTTAATTGCTCTTTATGTCCCTTCTGTCTTTTCAGCTGCAAAAGATCCACGTCTGTATTCATGTCCGGTCTACAAAAAGAGCAGTCGAACAGATCTGAATTACATTGTTGCTATGGATCTTAAAACCCGTCAGCCTCCAGAGCACTGGGTACTCCGTGGAGTAGCACTTCTGTGTGATGTCAAGTAATGTTTAAAAAGAAATCAGACTGTTTCCAGGAGTACTTTTCTGATTTTAAATGTAAACATTAGTATGTAGTTAGATACACAGTGGAACACTCCTAAAAATATTATTTCTAAATCATAGACTTCATTATGGTATTTTTATAAAATTGTTCTCAATAAACCTCTACAATAGGCTTATAAATGCTACATCTTATAGTGAAATTAACTTTGGTGTCTTTGAAAAATCATGACAAATATTTAGTGTTTCTATCACTTATATGTGCATAAGCACTCCTCCTGTGTGCTTAATTTTACCTTGAATAAAGAGTAATTGATTTAAACATTATTATTTTTTGGTAGTAAATATTTTGTATCAGGACTTACCTTCAGGAGGCTAAATGCAAAGCTGGGTTTCTTCTCCTCCTCGAGGAATTAATCTTATAAGAGAAATATTAGCAGCTCCATTTAGTTGGAGAATATGGACCTCACATGCCAAGCACACTTATTAATCATCAAAAAGCCAGTGTATTTTTGTTGCTGAGTTCAGTAGGTCACATATCTTAGTGGTCCACTGATCATTCCCAAAAGTGGCTTCTTCAGAAGAGGAAGCAGAGAGAATCAGTATTCCTGGTTCATCTGTTATTCATAAATGCTGTTCTCCATAAATGGAGAAACTGTTTTCAATTTTATGTCAAATTAATACAGGGAGACTTCAACATTCATTTCCACAGTCAAACCAGTAATAAAACTTAGGTGGAACATTGATTCCGTCTTTGATTCTGGTTGTAGAGGTTTTCCATCTTGGTATTAATTTTTTTTTTCTTTTAAATAACTCACAGTGGTACAAATGAAATATGTGAAAATCTTTCATAGGAAATACTTTAAATTTAGACATGGAAATAAATAAAGTTAAAAAGGTTGAAGTGCTCTTTACTGAACATTGAAGCACCATGTTCCAGCTTCCACGAGATCTCCAGATACTTCCTGGAGTTCTGAGTTCCTGGGCACTCCTGTCTTTCACCAAGACCTTCCTCTGTGAAGAAGATGCAGATATTTCATCCTTGTGCAAGTCATTCAAACTGAGAATTTACAAGCCACATGTGCTTTAAATACCACTTTTCAAATTGGGCATTTTTTCTACCATCATTGCTGTAGATACAGTAGATACAGTGCATACATCAAACCCAATTGTAATTCTCAGTGAGGAAACTGCACATTTTTTTCAGAGTGCGATTTTCTGTGGGAATAGTAGGGAAAACCACACTGGTGATCCTAATTATTCCAAAGGCTGTTAGGTCAGTGAAACAATTGAAATTGGCCATCATTGCTATTTCTGTTGTTTTAGCTTTCCTTTTGTAGGAGGTTTGGCATCGGCTCTTTAGGTGTCTGCAAAACCACCATCAGGGATGAAATAATTAGGCAGGGGAAAGTTCAATGAGCACTTGAAATGTAGCATTATGTCAGGGGCCAGAGTGCATAACCCTGCTCTCCCAGAGGTTTTGCTGCCTGGACTGGGAGAAGACTTGGTGCAGCTCGAATCAGACCTACCTCATTTACTATAGCCTTGCCTTGATCTGTGTGGCACTGTGGTTAACCTCATCTCTTCAGGCCCTACCTTGCTGACCCATCTTTCTGGTCTGACCTCAGATCTGCCCTGTTATTACAGCCTCATCTGGCAGTCATTGATATGTCATCTGGCCCTGGATGCTCTCTTTTTAGTTCAGGTGCCATGGGACTGTGCCCTTATCAGAGAGAGCTTTGCCCTTCCCACTCTGCTGTGGCTCTTGGCTTCCAGCTCCACTGTCCTTTCAAGCAGCCTGCTTTTGCTGTGCCCTGACATATGCCTTAAAACAGAGGGAAAAATGAGCTGGCTTTTTTCATCTTCTTAACAGAAATGGGTAATGAAATCCTTCAATGGAAAGGCATATCAATAAAATAACCAAACCTCATGTATTGTAGAATTGTCTAGAACTCTTTGGCTCTGCTATTGGTACTGAATGGATTAGTAAAGAAATACTATTCACCACAGACTTCAATTATACTGCTGTTAAGCATGCAGCACTATAAAATTGAGGCTCTGAAGGGGTTCAGGATTACAGAAGGTGTTCTCTATATTAATTTTTCATATTGGGCATGATAAATACATGTATTTTTGAGAATATTTAAAAACAAACATTATACAATTTTATCTTGGAAATTAATAGTAAATTAATGTTCTGAAAAAGGTGCAGATATTAGAGTTTCATCATAGTGCTTTGAAATCCCTCAGAAATTTTAGATTATTTAAATTAGGCAACCTAATCTTTCAAATATGTACCATCCTGTGTAGAGCATATTACTATTATATGAGTTTCTCTTCAGAAAAGCTTTTGTCTTTGAGCTGTGTGCCTACACTCATACGTCTTAGCTCCTAGGTCACTTTTCTTACATTTGTGATTTGTTGCACTTTTGAGATTATAAGGAAAAAGAAAAATTCAAGTTTTAAACATAGTGCAATTCCAAACTAGCAGTAAGTGTGGCTGTCATCACTGAAAAGGATTTTTTAAATCAGAAGTACATTGCAGTGGTATATGTACAAAAATTTGATTAATAAAAAATTGCTTCTCATTCTGAAATATCCTTAATTAAATTATTTTCACAATCAAATCAATAGTGAAGATAATTCAGCTTTTCTTTATTATGTGGGCTTCTTATTTTCATTCCTTGCTTGGAAAGTTATCCTATTTTAATTACCCAGAGGTGGATATACTATGTGGCTTCCTAATGAATCTTGAATCAAATCTTGACTAGTGTTCATATGACCACATTTTAATTTTTAGCTTTCACATTCACATTGCACATATGTTATAGGTGTATACAAATATTTGAAGGCTTTTGAAACATATAGAACACTTAAAATACAATGCTGCAGAGGTGGTTGCATATGAGACAAGTTGCTTATCAGTTGTGTAAAACTAAAGGTCTATTAAACAGATGAAATAAAAGAGGAGTTCTTGACATGCTTGTGGATCCCAAGATGTAACATTTACTGGAGTTTCTGGAATTTAATTTACACTATGCAGCTTTTCCAAGGACTGTACTACTCTATAGCTTTTGTTCTTATAATAAAATTAAAACATCATGTGTAAGTAATCATGTATTATGAGTCTGTATATTAGTACAGGAAAATGTAATTTAAATCTGAGCTTTTAAAGCTAAAAAGCAAATATATGTTACCAATCTCACTTTGCCCTTGAAGTCTACACATAAAATTATATTTTTTTTGGTATTTAATTGCACATTCAATCTTTTAAATAAATATCTAAAACAAAAAGCTATTGAACCACACTGGAAAAGTGGGCAGAAAGACTGAAAAAGAGGGAAGAAAGGCATCATTAAAATCTTTTTTAGTTAGAGCTGTTATTTAAAATGATACTGGCCTTTAAATTTTTAGTAGAGTTATTATTTGCATTGCAATCACTTGGAGAACTGAAGGAGTTATTTTAGTTTTTGCTGTCAGAGGGTATGAGCTATCCTATTTTGGTAAGAAAAACAACAGATGTTTGCTGATGTAAAAACATGATTTTTTTTCTAAAGGTGTTATCTTAGAACAAGAAAATCTACACACAGAAAAAGAAGAGTTAGGAAACTCTGTGAACCGTCTGTGAAAAGAGGTTAACATGATTGAACAGAAGGCAGAGTAACTTGTTAAGACACTGTTTTTACATGAGTTGCCTGCAAATAACAAAGTTATTGCAGTTTCTCTGTTAAAATGCCGCAAGAATGGCAGCCAATATATATAGCTCCTCCTGCAAAGTGTCTCTCCCACCACTTATTTCTTGAGTATAAAAGGTGTAATTTTTGCAGAAAAATGTAACCTGGAATCTCTTGTTAACTGACCTATTTAACTTACTATATTGAATATCACATTATGCTTTCCTCTCTTAAAGCTGAATTAGTTCTCTCTCTTGCTCTGAGTGAACTGGAATTCCAGCAAAATAATAGTCGCTTAGTTTGGGAAGAGCACTGTAAGTGATTCATCTTATCTTTCAGTGTCTTTTCTAATCTGATTAATATATGCTTAGAAAGGAAATGTTAACTGATGAAGCTTATAAGCACCGTAGAAGATTGTGACAAGAGCGTGTGCACAAAGAATACCTAGAAATGCTTTGTGAAGTAAGATGTGCTCAAGAAAAGTCCCTTCTACAGGCCATCATTTTCACAAAACCAATTCCTTTATCTTAAGTTCCAGCACTTAAAATGGGCTTGTAAGAAAGATGGGGGAAAACCTTAGTAGGGCATGTTGTGGTAAGACAAGGGGTAATGATTTTAAACTAGGAGAGAGTAGACTTAGACTAGATAAAAGGAAATTTTTTTATAATAAAAACAGTGAAACTCTAAAGCAGGTTGCTCAGGTAAGTGGTAAATGCTTCATCCCTGTAAATATTCAAGGCCAGATTGGATGGGGCTCTGGGCAACCTCATCTAGTTTAAGATTGCAGGGAAGTTGGACTAAATGACCTTTAAAGGTCCCTTCCAACCCAAGCCATTCTATGATTTTATTACTTGCATAGATCAGTATTGTTTAATTTAAAATACTTTGTGTAAAATATAAAGATGAGACAAAATTATAATCATTGCGGCCAAAGCTCAAATAACTCAAAAGGCAAAATGTTTATTTCATTTTATACATTAAATAAGTTGCTTTGCATTTCTTCTTGACACTGCACTGTGGTGTAATAAAGCTCAAAAATGTTTTTAGTATGATTTCCTTTTTGCATTTTGGGCTCCAACTTCTGCATAATAATCCTTACTTCTCAAATAAAGCTGTTCTTTATTCTTTCAAAGTAAGTTGTCTCAGGTGAGTTATATTTGACAAACAAGAAATTTGTTACTTGGATAAAAGGAGAAACCAATTAAGAAATGCATGATCTGTGCAAAACAGAAGAAATTTCATCATGGGAGGAGGTATGTCTGAACATAATGGAAGTGAAATCCTTATGAAGAGTCATGCTGATTGGTGATCTTTGGTTTGCAAAAATTTGATCAATTGGCATCAGTGTTAGACTGTGTCACAATAACACAATAAAAGTTCTGCTTGAGCCTAAGTAAGTGTGAAATTTAATACTGAGTTGGGCTTTGTTTTTAGGCAGATTTCAGTGAATCTCTTCTTGCTTTATCCTTTTAAAAATTAAAAAGGCAATAATAATGCTATTGGAGCTAGCTGTATTCACTGGATGAGCAGTAGTTTCTGGTCTTCATTTTACTAAATTGGTCAGATGGGAGACCAGGCTCTGTAAATATCCAACCCATGTGTTTGGTGAATGAAGTTTTATACAGCCAGAGAACTCGGCATACTACTT